GTGAAACGAAACACGTTATTAAATTGAATACACACGGTATACGACGTATACAGTTTACGTATACATTTTATACCGTATACGAACATATCAAATACATACCTACATACGTTTTATTATCTAAATATAAACACCTTTAGCCAGCCGCGGCCAGATAATAATCCTGGGAAAGAAACAGATAATTAACACGAATAAAATTAATAATAATAATAGTTATTAAAATATGTATAAGACCACCGCCGTCGACGAGTCGTAGGCCACAGACTTGCGAGGCGGCGTTTGACGCCATCAGCATGTGTTGAATGTGTGTGCGTGTGTGTATTTATGCCGCCACCGCCGGGGTAAAACGCACAGATGAAATAACGACGTGTGACAAAAAAAAAAAAGTGTCTACTAGTAGTGTGCTTGTGTATGTGTGTGTGATCGGATATGTAAAGAGAAATAATCAACGTATACATTTACTCGATACGATAAGACGATAAGATTTATTACTGTTGAACGAAAAGAATTAAAAAAAAAAAACATCAAAATCAGACTTTAAAACTAACTAACCTAACCATCCCGTACAAATGAGAATTAAATTCAATTATAAAGTTTTCCGAAGCGTTGTAATGTTGTTGTAATGTTTTATCACAAGCCCCGTGTTCGTCGTGCACAGTGATGATGGGATTGGAATTCGATCGTCGTCAATATCGAAAAACCGCGAGTGTTCAGTCAGTGACGTTTTTTTTTATAAAAATTGAGCTTTTTACTATATATCACGTACATGTTCTTTAAAACGTTATGTCGCTAAATGAATGAGAAAACTGCACGTCAATGATTATAATATACAGGTATTGGTTTTCCCTTTCGACGTTTTAAAAATCATCGCTATTCATTTTTAGTTAAAGAGTTAAAAATTATTATATAATTTTTATAATATTTTCAAAGCGGCTTTCTTTTCGAGTTGAGACATTTTATTAAGTTCTCTGCAAATATTATGTTTAATATGATATAATCACAATAACTTTAAATTAATTAAACGAAAACGTTATGCGTTTACGGTTTGATGAAAAATGCCGGAAAAAGTAAATCGACATAATTGTTCTTTAGATAATACATAATAGCATTTAGATGTAAACGATTGAATCAAAAAACTGGTGAAACGTAATAGGTAAAGCGCGGGTTTGTATGCATTTGCATATTTATTCTGGTTGATCATATGATATGCTAAGTGAGCACATCATTTGTTTCATAACATAACAATTTAAAAAATGAAACTTTTTTAGCGCATATTTTTGCATATTTTTATGCATATTTAGGGTTTTTTAGCGTACATTTGGTTGGTTTTTAATGTATATAAATCCGCGCTCCAGTAATATATTACTGCATGTACGATTTAAAAGCACAACGATAATGTTCCGTAATCCCGTATCGTCTGCACATCAGATGTTTTTTACGTTAATTATACGAAAGGATTATTACGCGTACAAGAGAGAAATATTACGGAAATATCTCGTGTTACAATGTACGACTCTGCACACGATTATTATACGCAACGAAAGAAACTGCAGGGCGGTGGTTATTACCACGTTGGCCCACGCGGACCAACATCATCGACACGACGATATTGTACAAAGATGAACGCGCGCGCACATGTTTGCCGGGCAAAGATATTCCCAAGATGACACGTTTAACGCAACACATGTACGGGTAAAGAAAAACATCGGAGCCGTATATTACGTATGGGAGGGAAATACACACAAATAAAAAAAATTTAAAAAAAAAAAAGAAAGAAAAAAAATGGAATAAGTGTATATTAACTACATACTATAGCGGTAATTCTGTCTTGTCCTTTTTCTCTCCGTCACCGTCTCTCTTTCTCTCCATCACTCTATCTCACACGCACACTTAACTCTCTCTTTCTAACTGTTCTTTTTTGAATGCTCGGCCCCCGTTGTTCGAAATATAAAACGAGGAAATGAAAAAATCGCTGCAGTTATCTCTCTTGACAAACCCAATAAACTGCTTTTAAAAACCATAAAGAAAATTTTTCATTGAACCACTGAGGTTCTTACATATTATATATATATATATAGTCTACACTTCATTCAATATACTGCAGTGCGTGTACGAACGAGGGATGAATATTTGTATATATTATACGTGTGTATTTACGTCACATTGACCCCGCGCGCCTTCGAACATTCGTCGTCATAATCAACGTCATGGTCGTCATCATATGTACGCGTAGTCGTCGCTCGCCTACGTCTTGTTTTCTCGCCGTTCCCATCGCGAGGGGGAAAAAATAATAATAATAATGATAATAATAATAATAAACCCTCCTCACAACCCTTATTCCTGTTTAGATCCACGTCGTTGTTTGACCTTGCGAACAGATATAATGAAAAACAAACCACCCGGAGGATTCGGTCGCACAAGTAGTTTCCGGTTAATACGTAAACACAAACCACACAATATATTACATTATTATTCGACGGCCGCCGACCGGTGTACGTGTACTTTACGGAGAAGGCCCGAATATATTTTCGAAATTAACATTATTCACGTGTCGTACACATTTCCGAGGGATATGGTATATTATGGTGTAAGGCGTAGATGTAATGTGAAAATTGTAAATAATAACACACGGGACACAATAACTAGCGTTGCGCCGGGGTCGTTGGAATTATTATTATTTACGGCGGCGGGTAAAATCAAAACGACCGCATTAAAAACCCGTCGATACGATTACATCAACTACTTGAATGATCCACAATACGGATGTTTAGCGTTCGTTTCCGCGGGCATAGGAGCAGGTGAATTTCAAAGACGGTTTTTGCGCTTGCTGCGTTAGCCGTATCACCGCTGCCGTAGCCGCGTATTGTCTTAAAAGTGTTTTACAATCACTTTTCGTGATTTTATTTCGTTTGGCGTTTTAACGATGCCATAGCGGTCACACGACGCCGCCGCCTCCGCATATGCATACGATATTTTAATGTGGCAATAACAGTAACAAAACGTACGCAACATGTGTAAGACACAGCAATCGATGACGGTTATGTAAATCGTGGAGTTGGTACACGTATACGCATGCGGTTGTAGAGGGAACGAAGGCGCTAGGGGAATCATGATTATTAAGTTATTATTATTATTATTATTATTATTATTATCATATGTAAATCGTAATAATAATATAACATATTTCATTCGGTACGTTTTCTTTGATCGTGTGTGGTACTTTCCACGAAATACAAAGATGCGTGCATGTGATGATGAGATGAGTTTCAAACGCTTAGGTATCGGTTTTCAACGTGTAAATCGGCACTCGAACGACCACTATTCTATTATGGCGAGTGATTTCGTCGTAAGGTCTACGCTCGTGATGGATTACGAATGATCGTGCGAATTAAATGGTTAGGCAATTGAAAATAACATTTTCCAGTCGCTACAGATAATATGTGATTCAGTAATCTGATTCAAAAACACCACCCATCCCCGCTAACTCACTCTTTATCAACACACGTTATTGTTTTGAAGTACCGTTGTCGAGGTAGGAACATTTAATTTTATGCACAAGACAAAAAAAAAACAAAATGGAAAATGAAAAAAAACAAGCGAAACACAATTAACACGATAAAATCGTTGAAAATCACTCAAGAGCCAAGATTGAAGAGAAAAAATATTTATCGAACAAATTACATAGATAACATTCATGCATGATACCAATTCCGACTATAATATACACTTCCACGTTACCTTACGCGTACTGAATAGGTATAAAAATTCATATCGACGGATCATCAGTAATGTTATGTACTTCTCTTATCCGAATAATATGTGAAAATTGTTTTTTTATCTTAATCATCACGTAGGGGAGAAAATAACAATAAAACCGCTTACGGCGGGGATGTCCTGAACGTGATGAAACAACTCGTTCACATACCACCACTACATACGAACCCTGTATTAACGTACATGGTCAAAATAATTATATTGAAAGAGAAAATCTAATAGGGTAAACTACGCGTTTGTAGTGCCACCGATGGACCTAAAAGTCTCAAATAGCCAAGAGGCCAGAGTACAGCTATAACCTATAAACATATATTATGTAGGTATAATAAGACACTGAAATCAAATAATAATAATAATAACCTGAATAATTTGAAATTACGAGTAAATCGAGAAACTATTTCGAATGTCGTTTTCACCTGTCGGCCGTGGATATTTATTTTTTTCTACATTTTAAAATATCTATGCAATCAATTTTTTTTTTCTTACACAGTCAGCTACAGTTTGATCTTTATTTGAAATTTTAATAAAAATTAGTCAATAAAATGCACTAGAAAATACAATATAGTACGCAACACGCATATTTTATTTTACTAGTGTATCATAAATACATCGTACCGATAAGTAACAGATCTTATGAGATTAAAAAACTAAAATAAAATCCCAACAGGATTAGATGCCACTAAAGAATAAATCCTCGAATCGTATATTTCCCCCTGCTAGTAATCTGAGTAAATCCCGAATTAATAATGATTCTCTCGATTCAGCGCGTCGATTAATTTCATTGGTTGGATTCTACACCTGAATTGGAAAAGCTATTTTATTTTAAAATTTACTCTTACCGATTTTAGTTGTTGCATGGGTTAAATTCGATCTTTGTTTCGGTGTCGACAAAGCGACGTCTTAAAGATACCACAGCACACAATGAAAATACCGAATTGCAAAACTGAACAGCGCTAATAAACCGGTCCTCCTCGTATTGCTCGAATCCAAATAAGGTCAAGATGTACGTTAATATACGTTAATACATAGGAAAACGGTGTGATGCGCGATCAGTATCTACGTTTTTTTTTTTTTTTTTTATCCAAATGTTGTCTCGCTAACAACAACAATAGTAATGATATTATGGAGAAAAAACAAACGAGACGAAAGGGGATGAACAGCAGGGTAATAGTAATAAATTTATAAACAGCGATAAAGCGAATAATTGATTGTTATTCAATGCAACTTACCTCTGGCGCACATGCCAATAAATGTTCCACAGTGTTTGATAACAATGTCCACAAACGGCTTGGCTGTGTCCATGTTCAGTCTTTTAAGTATATACCACAGGAAGTCGTGAGCTGTAATAGCGGACACGTCCCATTTCAAGATGCTCAACAAGAGCAGCTCCCACATCTGTAATCCAAACGATAACATATTTAGATCGTACATCAACAACGTAAACGCTCGTTATCATTTACAAACAATAATAAAAAAAAGAGAATAATCAATGGTAATCAAACACAATAAAAGTAAAAAATCATCGGAAAAGTCATTTAACGCAACGGCTATTGTTACGTATGATGTTGCTATAGAGTTCACATGGGTCTTCGACGGTCGCATGAGAAACGTTTCTCGATCGACTGTACACCAAACGCCCCGCCGGGGGATCACGCGATCACATAAATTACAAGTGGTTTCGATAATATTAATAATAATAATATTTTTCATAAAATTACGAGTTACGTGTTACAGTATTATATAAAAACTCATTCATGTGTACCGCGTCCCGTGCGGCAGGAAACATCATTATTGTCAAGTATAATACACATTACAACATACACGTATATAACACTCGACGTACAGCTGAACGCCACCGTGCGCACAGGACACAGGACGTTATCGGCGATCCGAAAATAAATTCTAAATCGGAATGTAATATCTACGCACCATATGGTCCATATTTTCTCTCTCTCTCTTCCATTCTCAGACTGTTGAACGCGTATAAGAATACCGAGGAGAAGAAACGCAGCGGTAGCAAGTCGTGTTGTGTGCGCAGAAATAACAATAAATATAATATACCGTACGCGAAAACCCACGACCCGTCGCGACTTCGCTTACAAACGGACACAATTACGCGCGTTCTCTGTCCCTATTGAGCAGGGAAACGAATCGGGTGCACATGGAACCAGGAAATAATAAATAAAATTACACAGCGTACCGCACAATGATACAATACCGTTGTAAAGGACTTCTCGTGCGGTGTTCTTTTGTCCGGCACATTTCACGGGAAGTTTTACGCGACTCGGTGCCGACCGGCCGGCCGGCCGGACTTACACGGCGTTTTGTATAGACAATTTAAGTGCTTTCAAGAGCCACGGTCATTTTTCACGTTGATTCGTTTTACTTGACGATATTAATATATATATATTTTTTTTTTTTTCACAGGCAATGGACAACGGTAAAATCATTATTTTAATTTTAAGATGAATTATTTTTTTTTAAGGAAAAACATTAAAATATTAATAATTACAATTACATAAATGCAGGTACTGTGAAAGGATTTTTTTCTAAAACTATTGCGTTCTCCAACTAAAACTATAAAAAAAAAAAAAAAAGATCAGGTACTAGGTATATATTTTGTTCGTATTTTTCCGACGTCATCTTAGTCTTAAGTGTTATTTATAATCGTTACACCGTATCGATAATGTACTTCAATATACAATCTATATCGGTAAACGAAGATCACTGAATAAATTAGGGTTGTTAAAATAATGAAGGTTCGTTAAATCACTTCTGTGTTTATATTTAAACGAACGATTACGGGATGGGTTAAATCCAGTTTGAATTTTTTCTCGTTCATACAAAAAAACCATACCTCCATAAAATGTGGCGCTGTCCGAAAAAAAACACATATAAACACAATCGTAAAATGTTACGAAAACACTGAAAATTTAGCATTCCTCGCTAATGAGTATATACACGGTGATGCAGCGGAGGTAAGCGAGCCGAAGAATAACGAAGACGATGAGAGGAGGGATAGAAAGAGGAGGATCCAACTATTATTGAAACCCGTCTACGATTGATCACAATATATATACAAAGGTACTAAAAAAGAAAAAAAATAGATCTATAAATGATGGATAGAAACCGTAGGATGAAAAAAAAAAAAAAAAAAACAAGAATCCTGGCTCCGAGCGAAACGGAAAGATGAATATTTTAGATAACATTGTCCGACGCCTAAGATTTTTTTTTCCCCTTTAATAGTGCGCCGTCACCGTCGTCGTCGTCGTCGTCGTCCTCGTCGTGTAAACACACGGCGGCTGTTCGAGAACCGTTGTGTGTACCTATATATATATATATATATATATATATACCACGCACACAACCACCCGACCTCCAACTATAACTTCTACGCGACCGCCTATTATAATATATATAATATTTTACTTATTCCGTCGTCCGATTACGACCGACAATAACGAAAAAACCAACACGCGTACTAAATTATATTATTACACTGGTCGATCTCCGTGAGGTGGCATACGAGGTAAGTATATACACGTAAATATACGGGCGTGTGTGTGTGTGTGTATATATGTTTATGACACGTATTCGTTTAGTTTGCCGCCGCCGTGTAAAATTAATAGGAGAAAAAATAATAGTAATGAAAATACAATCCAAGTTTCACGGTTTGGGTCGTCGGTCACTCGTTAACATCATCACGTGGCGACTATGTGGACGGCAGCAACAATCTCTTCCACCCCACCCCACCCCCACCAACCATATACACACCAGAAATTATATACAACACACGTATAATAATGTAATATACGATTATTTACGCGTCAGACTTCAGAAGTTAAATGCGCGCGCACGCTGCGGCGGTGGTGTCTGATCCACCGGTTACGCTTCTGATCGGAACACAATAATAACAAGTATAATCACATCATAACGTAATGGTTCACGTGAAGAGGAAAGCGCCGCCAAACTAAATTTTAAAACGGTTTACTAGACCGTTGTTTATCGACCGCTGTGTCGCTGTGATGAGTTCAAATGCGTCGCGAACTACATTAGACACGAAATTGTAAATCGACACGATAAAAGCACATTCAGTTATATTGATTACAACTTACGAACTCCAGAAGTCCAAATCGATTGTTTCTGATTAAAATCAAATACTAACACACAAGTAAGCATTGAATAAGATTTTCGTTCAGGTGCGGCTCCAAGGGAGGGGCCACTGGGGCCATGCCCTCCCCAGGCTTTTAAAAAATTTAAATGTTATAATACATTTGTGTCCATGTGCTCTGTAAAATCCCGATTAATTGGATACCTACCTAACAATTTTATTTTGCCTATAAATCAATATAACCTAACCTTAATATGAAGCATGTATCATTATATAAGAACGTAATATATGAATATTTTATTTAATTAAAACATGTATAATGTATAAATACTTTATAATAAAACTTAATAAAACTTTCATTCCCGGTAAGTATATTTTCTAAGCCCTCTCTGCAATTTAGCGATAGCTAAAAAAAAAAAAATAGCCCCTCCCCTGGTAGTCTCTGAAGCCGTGACTGTTTTCGTTTGACTTTTATTTTTTTACGGTATGCCCGCGTCCCGTAATAAAAACGTTGAGGAACGTTGTTTTAGACGACGGGGTTAGACACAAGGAAACACCAATACGCGCGTGAAAACGTATTGTGTGCGTTAATATTTCAGCCCCCAGACGTTGCACATTTTATTTTCGAAATTTCACCACACATTAAAATTCGGTTCTTATGATATAAGACGATGGTTTAGGTTAATGAAGAACAATTAAAACGTGTACTCTTTTGAAAACGAAGATTACACGTTTTAATTATTTACGTATAATGTCTACATCGTATTGAAATAATAACCGTAACAATAACTATGCAATATAAAATCGATCGGAATTAATTATTAACTGATAAACGAATATAGTTTTTAGTGATGTCGATGACGCATTAACTAATTAAGGCTGCAACGGTAACGTATTACGAATACATTTAATTGATCAACTGATACACGTATGGAAGCTCGGATTAAGGGGAAAAAAGGTCCCGGGGCACATAGTAGGTAAATTGTTAAAAATATATAAAAATGTTCTTAATTTTATATCACGAAAAATTACTAATTGATAATACATTTTTAAATTTAAGTAAGGTATCATTTGATGAAAGTGATACTTTTAGTTTATTACAATGGTTTTATGAAAAATCATTGCAGGATGTATTCCCTAACATTTTAATTGCTCTTAGATTATATTTAGCTATCCCAGTCGCCAATTGTTCAACCAAAAAATCATTTTCAAAGTTAACAAAAATAAAAAATAAATATAGAACTGGCGTGACTCAAGAAAATTTAACATCGTTAATGGTATTATATTCAGAAAGTACATATTTTGCAATCGATATATTTCAATGAAAGTTTACAACAAATTGCAAAACAGAAAGTAAGAAAAAAATTTAACTTATAGCTCTAGTAACCTATCAAGTGTGTCCCTTATATATGTATATTGTATATATAATAACTAGATTATTACATTAATTTATCTGTCTTATAAAATATATAAGACAGATACTATACTATACAAAAAAATATATATTATATATTTTTTGTTTAGTATAAACGTATACAATAAATATTAATATACAGTCCTTAATATGTATAATTATTTTTAAGTTCAAGTTGAATGAGAGCCCACTAAGTGTATGGTGTCCTGGGGCCCAATTGATCCTTAATCCGGGCTTGCACGTATGTATAATGTAAGAGAACGATAAAAACAAACAAGCGTAGGAGAGGGTAAAAGGTAAGACTCGTAAACCTCTACCGGTATGTACCCTGTACCGACATTTCGCTTCGGGTTTTGATTAGAAAGGAAAACGAAAGAGACTATATCCGTGCCACGGACGGCGGCGACACATCGCGTTTTAATATTACGTACGTAAGCCATGCGAACAGCACTAACCACCTGTTCCATTCATCACGCGCGCGTTAGCCGTCCGATTGATGGCTATAAAGACACCCATTCAAGGTCGTCTTCTCTTCACTACATATATTATAACCCTTTTTAATAGTGTTGTCAGAATGTGCGCGGTGGTCGTACCTATATACATTCTATCGCCTATCTCAGGTAGAAGTGCTCTTCGACCGCGGTAATCGATTGTACACGGGGCGCGGACGTGTGTACCGCCCTCTTTACGGGCGGCATTGTTGATGAAAACGGCCTTTTCAAGACTGGTCCGAGCTTATGGATTCGGTGAAGTCCACCTGGGGGGGGGGGGGGGTGGGTAAAGACGCGCGACTTCCTCAGGGCGCCAATTCGTTACTTATTAATCTCTGCTGGCAAACAAAGGGTGTGCGATTTTTGATAAAAATTCTTC